ACAAACATGTCTGTAAATGAAGAACTCACTGACACCATTGCGTTGACACTCTGCATCTAGTTTCCAGATGAACACATGGTCTGCTGCATTGCTCAAGCAGTTTCAAAGTTGTGAAAGGTTTGCATACCAGGCTTTGAATTTCTCAGCAATAGTATTTTTCTTTTCTTTCTTTTTTAGAGGGGAGGGGATTTTTTTCTTATTTGTACTTTATTTTATTGTTTACTTTTGGTGCTGGGGCTTGAACATAGGACTTCATGCATGCTAAGTATATGTTCTACAACTGAGTCACACCCTCAGCCCATTTTTAAAATTTTTCTAGGATTCAGAATAATGATATTAAAATAATGTTTCAAAGGTATATTTCAATTAGTCAGTTTTTTTTCTGGTACTGGCAGCTGGACACAGAGCCTTCTCACTGAGCTACATATATCGCCCGCTCTTTTTATTTTTCACTTTTGAGACAGAGTCTTGCTAATTTTCCAAGGCTGGGCTTTGACTTGCAATCTTCCTGCCTCAGCTTCCAAGAGATTATAGTTGTGATTATAGGTGAGATTATAGCTGAGGTTATAGGTGTGCGCCACCACCCCCAACTCATTCAATTTAAATTTTATGACTTGTTCATCACAACTCAAAATGCAGCTACTCACCTATTGCTTTGGCACTTTCTTGTGGAAGAGGAGGAGGGGTGCGTCAAGCCCCTCTATTCAGCCATCATAGAATCCCACAGTATTTATTCAATGCCTCTTTGATAGCAGAGGTGGTATAAATGGTGCTCCACAGTGAAGTGAAGGCCCATTGATGTAATTACACATTCAAGCCAGGCACCTGAAACTTCAGATTCTTCTCATCCCTGTGCAGCATCAGTCAGCAGGAAGCTGGCCTTATTCTCCAGTGTCATTCTGCACATTTGCCCCTCTGCCTTTCCACCCCATGGCCTCATTCAGACTTTCCTGGGCCATTGCCAAGGCAGGGGCTGTCACACCGTGACCATAATGTCCTCACACTCCCTGCCCCTGCCTTCTACCTCTACATCACGAGTCACTTTCCATTTCAGTAGTAGAGGGATTCATCCCCATAGGACTTCTGACACTTGGGTTAAAATCCACCTGCTGGGGCTTCTGCCTCATTGGCACAGGTGCCTGCTTGTGAGCCCTAAGGAGTGCAGATCCTTGTGTGCACTGTACCTTGGCCCTTCTCCCCCGGCTAGCATCCCATCCTCTATCTGGTAAATCCCTGTCCATCTTCTGACACTCAGCTCACAGATCTTCCCTGAAAACCTTCCTCTCTCCTATTTACCTTCCCATCACATCACATCATGACCTTGTACCTCTTCGGCTTCTGAGATGGATTGTTAATCAATGTGATTCTTATGTATAAATGATAGTTTAGTCCCATCTCTGAGCACAGTGCCTGGCACCTGAGAACTATGTGAATGAACATATGGACTAATGAACAAGTGAATGCATTACTAGCTTTTCCTGAGTATTGGGTTCTTTCACTGGGTACAAAGGTACATGGTGATCATGAAGTGACATGTATTTGCAGCTATTTTTGCATTTAAAGCCCCCCTCCCATCCCCACCCTGCATGGTGTGGTACTGGGGATGGAGCCCAGGCCACTCTAGCACTGAGCTACTATAGTCCCAGTGCTCTGCCCCTCTCCCACAGTACTGGGGACTGAACCTAGGACCTTCTCACTGGGCTACATTCTCCAGCCCTTTTTAAATTTTGAGTCAGGATCTCACTAAATTGCCCAGAATGTGCTCAAACTTGTGACCCTCCAGCCTCAGCCTCCCTTAGCACTGGCATTACCAGTGCACCACCACTCCTGACTATTGTCCCTTTTCTCATTTATATCTATAGTGAGTTCAGTGAAATTAATAAAGCAGGATTTTTTTTTAAATCCAGTTTGCAGACTCAAAGGACATAAATAAATCCAGGAAGAAGGGGGCTTGGAGCACAGGGTGCTGATCTGATTGTAGGGCTTGTGTCAGACACGTGGGGACTTCTGTCAAGTCAGTTACTTGCTGTAACACTGTAAAGGAACTACATAGAAACTTAGTTAAGGGCTGGGGTAGCTCAGATTCTAGAGAGCTTTCCTAGTATGCCTGAAGTCCAGGGTTCCATCCCTTAGTTAAATCCATTTTTGTTCTTGGAGAAGTTTTAGTTTGATACCTAACCCTCCCCCAGTTCCGGTTTGGGGAGCTGGATGCTGAGGCTATTCTGTCTTGAGCGACCTTTGGGGGACTTCAGTGCCTAAGCAGCAGCCCCTCACCTTCTGATGGTGTAGTAAGAGCTCATAGGGGCTGCCATTCTATCTTGAAATTAACTTCAAAGTAAATTTTTCTATCCCATCTACTGAGAGAATGCCAAGTAGGGAAGTGGTTTAAAATAGCCGTGCTGTTTGGACTACTTTAAGCAAGTATATTTATGAACAGGAAGGTCATGTGCTTTTCCCCCTTGACACTTGGCACCCCCTCCCACCCCAGCATCCTAACCCCATGCTTTAAGAGCCAGGAGGAAAAAGTACTTGGTCTGAAAGACATTATTCTAGTTGAGCAAAGCTTACATACTCTCTGATTCTACTGACATGACATTGTCAAAGTAACAAAATTACATTGGTAGAGAAAAGATCAGTTTTTCCCAGTGGCTAGATTAAATTAGAGGCCAGGAACTCTTTTTTTTTTTTTTTTTTTTGTTGGTTTTTGTGATGGAATTCTGTAGCCACAACCTACCTGTACCTGTGATTAAAATTTCATAAAACTACATCTTCCTTCCCCTTCCCCAAAATAAAACAAAAACTAGTAAGGTCTTATTTCAGTGAATAGTCGTGTGCCAACATCACTTTCCTGGTTTTGATCATTGTATGTACAATGATCATGTAAGATCTTTATCATTGGTGAAAGCTAGGGGGAAGGGTGCACAGGAACTGCATGCTATTTTTGGAACTTCTTGTGAATCTAAAATTATACTGAACTAAAAAGAGTTTTTTTCTTTTTTTAAAGAACTTTAGGGACTGGGAGTGTAGCTCAGTGTTAGCACTCTTGCCTAGCAAGCTAAGGCCCTGGGTCAATTCTCAGCACTACGTAACCAGAACAAAATCCCAAACCCAGTTTTCTGGCCTTATAGAGCTCATATTCTGTTTGTTAATGGAGCTGTGATGTCATCATAGGACATACAGTTTCTAGAAAATTCCACGAACTGTTTTATTGGTGGATGTATCTAAGCTCCTGGAAAGATGTCTGGTGCTAAGTGAGTATTTAGCAAGTACTGTGGAGTGAAGTAGGGCAGGGCAGATAGAGTTCCAAGGTGATAAGCTACTTCATCTACATTACCTCCCATTAGAAAGATGGACATTAGAATAAAACATGAAGAAACAATATATTTTTTTTTTAATTTGCAGGATTGCTTAATCCAGAACCAAAGAATTGCCCAGTTGTGCTCCTAGAAGTTGCCTAGTCAGTGATTGATATTGTCCTTCCCTCAAGGGAACATCCTGTTACTGAATGTCCTTAAGAGTATCTTTCAGATCTGTGGCACAGGATATCTCTTTTCAAACCATCAGATGACTAAGTGGGAAAGGTGTGAACAGGGGACTTCTGTAAGCAGTGACCCAGGGGAGAGGACTGGCCCAGCACACTGGAGGCCCAGGGGCCCCAGGGCATTCAGGATTGAGTGGGATGGAGGGTGGAGACTTTGGAGACTTGGTGGGTGGATGATTTTTCTCCCTGGAAAGCCACAAGGGTTTGATCTATAAAATGTCCACATCTATTCCAGTCTGGTGGTTTTTTGTTTATCTCCCTAAATCCCACCTCTGCTTTCCTCTATTACTTCCATTCATTTGGTACATTTGTTACAATGGATATACCATTCTTGGACAGGATTGATACATTATTAGTAACTGGAAGTCAGGTTTCCTCTGTTTTTACTTCCTGTCCTTTTTCTGTCCCAGGATCCCCTTCAGGATACCACATTCCACTTAGTCATCTTGGTATGACAATTTCTCATCCTTTCTGTGTTTTTAATGACCTTGACAGTTTTAGGATTACAGGTCAGGTGTTTTGGAGGATGTCCCACACAGTTAAACGTGATATTTTCCTCTTGAAAATATCCTGTCAAGAGAAACACTGCAGAGGGGAATGCCCTTCTCCTCACCTTGTAGCAAGGGTACATTCTACCAACATGACTATCACTGACCTTGGTCACCTGATTGGGTCATGTTTATCAGTTTCTCTGGTCTAAAGTTCTTTGTCTTTTCCCCATTTCCCACTGGACTCTTTGAAAGGAGGTCACTTTGTGCAGCCCACCCTGAAAGGATGGGGGGTTGAGCTCTCCTTCCTTAAGGAAGGAACATCCTTATAGACTTGGATTCTTCTTCATGGGAGGTGTTTCTCTTCTCTATTTAATCATTTGTTTTATCAATATAGACTAATGAGCATTTATTTTATACTTTGGGTTATAATTCAATACTATAATTCATTTTTTTGCTCAAATTTGTTCTAGCTTTTGCTCTTACAGTTGGCTCAAGTGTCTCTTTGACATACCCTCTCACTGTGTGTGTGTTATAAGTTATGTTAAATTGCACTCCAGGCTCATCATGTGTCGGTGGTACCCTGATCTGAGAATCAGCCATTTCTCCAAGGAACCTGGTTCCTTATATTGGAGAATGGTATTAGAAACCAAGATCTGAGTAAACTTTCTATTTAAAATCAATGAGTCCATTTTTTTATTTCTAAGATGTCTTTAAAGCTCTAAAATGATAGATTCTTCATTTAGCACTAGTGTCTTCTCTTCGATTAGTTACAATATTAATACAAATACCTTGTATTTACATAGTAATTCCTTGTGACTTAGTTTTTACTATCCAAAAAAGATTAATTACAATAGACCACCTGAAAAATTTTAGGACCATGGCTCTTATCCTGCTATTTCTGACATTCTAAAATGTCCCTAGCATAGTGACGTAATGCGACTGGTCTCACAGGTGTCTTTTCACTCCAGGTCTGACAGAGATGGCCATCTTCAGTTGTGAGGCCCACAATGACAAAGGGCTGACTGTGTCCAAGGGTGTGCAGGTCAACATCAAAGGTAAGCAGCGTTGCCAGGCTCCTCGAATGTCTTCTAGAGGCTAGAGGGAGACCAAGGGTGAGCTCTTGCAGCCAGTTGCCTAAGTCTGAGTCTTGGCTTTCTCTGTGACCTTACACAAGTCACTTCACCTCTTGGTGTTCCCCTCTGAAAAATGGAGGTAATTACAGAATCTCCCTGTTGTTGAGGTTTAATGATTTTTTTTTTTTAGTACCTGGGATCGAACTCGGGACCTTGCTCTTGCGAGGCAGGCGCTGGAACCACTAAGCTAAATCCCCGGCCCAAGGTTTAATGATTTAATGCAAGTAGAAGACGCCTAATGGTGTCTGCAGGCACATAAATCTTCACAAAACATTGTTTAATTTAATCATGCTTACTCCAAAAATAAAAAAAGCTCAGATGTTTATGTTTGATCCTATTTTTACTTTTTCCACCTCCACCCTGCACTTGTCCTCATAAAACCTCTAGGAGCCCTGGGAGTGGGGTCACTTGGGGGCATTGATCTCAGGAATGGCCTCCATCCTTTCGGGGTCACCTGGGACTGACACAGTTCTCATCTAGCTGCTGGCAGAGGGAGGGAGCAAGGCACAGAAAGCACGTTGCAAGCTTCTTCCCTCTTTTCTCCCAATCTGCCTCTCCCTCTGGCTTCCTCTTGAGTGTAGATTTCAGTAGGGCTCTGTTTGCTGGGCAGTGTGTTATAACAGGATTAAAGGCACAGGTCTGAAAGTCCTCAGCCAGTGGAAGTCCTCATTCCAGCCCATCTGCCTTGTCCTCTTCCTCCCCTGTGTTCAAAGATATTTAAACCCAAAACTTGAAAGGAAAGGGAAACACACAAGCACATACTATCTTTTTATCTCTTTTTCAGGTCATCTTCTCATAGAAATTCAAACACATTTTATGTTTTACTATTTGATCTTAGTTTAGGTATTGAGAAGTAAGTGTGTTGGGTTTGTGTTTTTCTCATCTCATCCTTGAACAACAATGTAAGGAAGAAGTACTGTGTTTGATAATGTGATAATAATAAGTTTGGGTATATGCAGAAGGAAAGTCAAAACTATGAAAGAAGTTATATTCTAAAAAGGCACTGGAGCTGGGTGTGGTGGTACACACCTGTAATTCCAGCACTCAGAAAGCTGAGGCAGGAGGATCACTGAGTTCAAGGAGACCCTGTCTCAAAAAACAAAAAACAAGGTACTAGTTTTAGTTTCTGCAGATCAGCTGGATGTGAGATTATGAAAGGGCATTCTCTAAAAGTTCACTGGAATTTTTAAAAAGATGAGCAAACCAAAAGTTAATACTAGAGGAAGTGTATAACTTCCTTCCTGTTTTACAAATCCCATTATTACAAGTTAAAAAGACATGATAGGAATTTCAGAAATTCGTGAGTAGGTGTAAATTGTACAAGTCTTTTCCTAAAATATAAACTGCTTTAAAATTTAAAAGTCTATGAAATGAGAAGCATTTTATTTTAGGCTTCACACAGAATCTCAGCTGAGGTTTCTTTGTAAAATAAATTCTGATTCCAAAACTTATGTTTTTTTGTTTTCATGTATTGTAAAATTTATATCACAGCCACCAAGACTCCTTTCTACTAACTATTATAGCTATGATGTATGTGGTCAGATTTTGATCTGGAAAAAGCAGATCCTTTACATCAGTTCTACAAATAATCTGCTTAGGGAAATGAGTCCAGCAATATATCAAGTGCTCCCCACTCACTACTAGGCTGCTTGCTCATACCCTTCTGCCTGCTGTCCCTCAGTATAGGGCTCCTGGTGGGGACACCAGCTCTGGAGTGAGGCAGACCTGAGTTCAAGACCCTGTTCTATTGCTTACTACCTCTCTGTAACCTTTGGCACATTTTAAACTTCTGCCCAGTTCCCTCATCTGTAAATAGCGCTTGCAAGACTCCTTCTCTAACAAGGTTCCATAATGATTCTCTAAAGTCCCTACAGAGTCTGGCACAGGGTAAGCATACAAGAACATTAGCCATCATTTTTACCATAAGTGGAATTATTATGAACAATTAAATTTAGCATAAAAAGATAAGATTCCCCAAACTTTTGATGCTTCTTGGATTGTAACTGAAATCACTTTCTTTGTCCAAAATGCAACTGAGGTCACTGCATACTCACTGTACTTGATCACCCCTTCCCCAGTGGGTGCAGGTGGCTTTTACATTAACTCTCACCTGTTTTCTTGGCTTGGAAAACTCTATCTCTCTCTCCCTCCCTCTCCTGTAACATTTGGTCTTCTGAGGGTCTCCCTCACTGGGCCAGGTGCTCCACAAGGGCAAGAGGGCTATGGCTCTTGGCCCTGTTTATTACATTAGTGTCCAGCCAAGTGGTCACATATAGCAGGTTGAAGAATATGTGCTCCATGAAGGACATGGATATCTCTAAGTCATTTTCTAGTTAAAGGTGTCCTCACTTCATCAATGAGCAGGGAAGTGGGTCTGTATTCCTCTTCTTGGGCCCAGGCAGAAGCATCCCATTGCTGGAACACTTCTCTCCAGTCCAGTGCCATTACCCTCAAGCCTAGAGTGGTGCCTCTTGGAAATATCTGTTCTCTTTTGCTGATCTCAGGGTACAAAAACAAGTGCAGTGTTAATGCATTTGTTTGGCAGCTATGGCCTCCTGCAGTATATAATTGTGTTTCCATGTGTGCACCTTTGTTTTTATGTAGCAATTCCTTCCCCACCGACTGAAGTCCACATCCACAACAGTACTGCACACAGCATTCTGATCTCCTGGGTCCCTGGTTTTGATGGCTACTCCCCATTCAAGAACTGCAGTGTTCAGGTAAACCTCCAGGATGAAGAGGGAAGGAGGTGTCTGGTGGTCTGGGAGGCTACCTGGTTTTTCTTGCTCCTCAGAACAAGCACAGAGGTCATTTGTCCTCTTCTGTTGTTTGACCTCCCCCTTGTCCACTATTGTGCAGTTTTGTGATGCCCTGCCCATAGTGCTGCTTCCTTCACTTGTGTGGTCCAGGGCCCAACCAGAAGAGAGGCATGTTTCCTAGGAAAAACAGGGAGAATTAATCTTTAATTACAAAAAAGTATTCCTAACGGGGGGCTGAGTTGTGACTAAGACTTCAGAAAACCAGGCATTCCTCAGTGTGGCTCATCTTGAATTAGTGTCATGAAGGACAGATGGTGTAACAAAGATGGGTTACACATCACACCTTAGCCAGTGTCTCCCAGGGAAACTGGGGATTATAGGCTTTATGGTGTTCAACCATTTTTAGCTACCAATTACCTAAAACTGGCGTGAGACAGTGCTGAAAGAAATGTAGGTTAGACACCCTCAAATAACACCTTGTCATGATGTAAGCATTGCTCATGAGTGTTTCTTTGATAAAAATGGAAATGGTGACAGTGACACCATTGTTCACTGTAGAGGGCCCACAGTAGCCCCAGACTGCAACATTCTCTCACTTAAAGCACATTAGCACTGCAGGCTCAGATGCTCACAGCCTGTGAGTGGCAGAGCAGGAATACAAACCTGGGAAGCTCAGAGGCCAAAAGCAGAGCTCAAGTCCATCAGCTCTGCAGCCAGGGGATGCAGCCTGTGTGGGAGCAGGTTACCAAACACGCAGGCATAATGAGCTGAAAATACGAAAGCATTCTGTCTTGTACTTTATTACGCAGGAGGGACAGGGATGCTCTAGTTTCCTAAATATCCAGTCTTATTAGTTAAAAGTATGTTGTGTGGTGCCAACCATGGTGGGACACATCTGTAATCCCAACACTCTGGGAAGCTGATTCAGGAGGATCACAACTTAGTGAGGCCCTGACTCAAAATGAAAAAATAAAAAAAGGGCTGAGGATATAGCACAGGATGAAGGTTGAGGGTTCAATTCTTAGTACTTAAAACAAAACAAACATACATATTAACCTAACATAGGCCAGTCATATCAGCTCTTAGAAAAGTGACTTCCAAAGAATTTCATGTTGACAAGCAGATGTTTTTAATACCAAATGCAATTAATTTCTGATCTTAATGCCTCCTACTCTTATCTAACAGCTGTTCCTTCTCTCAGGAATAAAAGCATGCATTATCCCTAAAATAGCCTCTGCCCTCACCTCCACCATCTCCAGCCTTGGTTAATTCTTTTTTTTTTTCAGGTATGCAATAAATATAATTTTAATAGTATAGCTAAACAGGGGAAAAGAAATACGAAGCCAAGATTTGATTTTCATCCTTATCACTATTTCTAGGGTCCCTCTAACTTTGTTTTTTAGTTCTTTTATTGGTACATTTTAGGTATACAATTCGTTTACATTTATCATTGGGTGTTTGTAACTATACATGATATATCTTGGTTCTTATTTTTTTTGTCCCCATTACCTGTGCACCCTTCACCCCCTCCACCCTTCCCTATTTACATAGATGTCATTTCCATTTTTTTTTTTCTTTTCTCATAGTTTTTCCTTTCCCTCTTTTCCTTTCCCCTTCCCCTGCCTTCACTCCTTCGTCTTTGGACCTTTTTTCCTATTTCAAATTATCAATTATTCATTTTAATCATTTTAAGCCTTGTTTACACTATCAGTTTCTCACACTAG